TGTCAGTAAAAACAGAAAAAAAACTATGATTTTGTGTGTTGTCTTGCTCTGTAGTGAAAACTAAATCTTCTTCTATAAATTCCTTAATATGTAGTTGATAATTTACGACTTGGCAGCTATAAATATTGTTCAAGACGTCGAAAAAGCTGAGAAGGGTCTTCAATATTTCCCTCGTATAATAAGAATAATGACATATCCGTAGCAAAATAGGTTGACATAACTCAACAATAGGTTATGAAATTCACGTAACATTGACATTTTTCATTGTTTTATCCACATTTGACTATTAGATACATGAGAAATTGCGATGCTGTCATTATGTGCTCAACGCATATCCAGAAAACAATTCATAGGCAACGAGAATACCAAAATCGATTGCTTGGGGTTCCGCTAATCGAATACTTTCGCTTACCGCTACTAGGCGCATTGGGCAACATTGACAACATTGGCAACAAAAAGACATTGATATGAGCCTTGTTTTTCTATTTTAAACTAAGAAGCAGAAGCGCACTTTTAAAATATCTTGGAAAATGTTTATTTCTCCAAACAAATTTGACTGTTTTGGTTTTACATACTATCATTTAATGTCTACTGGAAGCAGAGCTTTTATTACTATAATCAGAAGGTTCTATTTTAATACTAGCTAACCTGGCTTACTTAGTACAACCTAATAGTAAAGTCAGAGTTTGTTTGTCAATCTTGTGGCACGGATGGCTAATTGACTGAATGATCTGGAATGATCAATTGGTTTTAACAATCGGTTTGACAGTTGTTTTCATTGGTTCTCTATATTTTTATTACATTTTGATTATTAGTATAGTATTATTTCCTACCTTTCTAAATCTAAATATTCTATTTCCCATTAGTAGAACGCAAAATTAGCTTAAATTGAAAATATATAATTTAGTTTATTATCAGATGTTGCTTTATATTAATATATTATACAGGGTCCGGCAATGGTGCGTCGGGTATCTGTAGCTCTTAGAATAAAAAAACTTGAGAATTTTGTTTAAGTGCAAACCTAAAGTATGTACCAGGATGTATTTCAGGAAAATATTTTAACTTCTATAGGGTGGCTCAAAAAAGTGTGATTGGACCTGGATGATTTTTTTTTTAAATGCAACACCCTGTATATTATTGCATTTTTGACTTCCTTTCGGATCACTTTACATAACCCTAAGATATGAATAAATATATTTCGATAGTTTCAGAGATATTAAAAAATAAATCAAAAATATATATTTGTCAACCCTTCTTAAAAAAATATTAAAAATACAAGAACTGTTTTGAAATCAAAACTATATTAGGTATTTACTTTAGATGGTCTGTACTTACTTTGCTATAAATATGGTAATCGTAAATCATACAGGATGTTCAATATTCTACGCCAAACTTTCTAAAATATAAAATATTTTTTCTTTGTTTTTTTAAATGGAACACCCTTTCAATGATAAAATACGAAAGAAAAATCATTGGGTGGCTTTGATAAAAATTTACTGTAGAAAATGCCATATGAAATATAAAACTGCAAATATCTGCGAAACCGTTAAAAATTTTGAAATAATCTAATACAAAAAATGTTCATTTTTAAATTCCCCGTATAATGATAAAATAATATACGTTCCATTTAAAATAACGAAGAAAAATTATTTTATATTTTAGAAAGTTTGGCGTAGAATTTTGAACATCCTGTATAATTTACGATTTTCATATTTATAGCATAGTAAGTACAGACCATCTAAAGTAAATACCTAATGTGGTTTTGATTTCAGAACAGTTCTTAGTACTTTTAATAACTTTTTTAAGAAGGGCTGAAAAATATATATTTTTGATTTATTTTTTAATATTTCTGTAACTATCGAAATATATTTATTCATATCTTAGGGTTTTGTAAAGTGATCTGAAAGGAAGTCAAAAATGCAATAATATACAGGGTGTTCCATTTAAAAAAAAATCTTCCAGGTCCACTCACACTTTTTTGAGCCACCCTATAGAAGTTAAAATATTTTCCTGAAATACATCCTGGTATATACTTTAGGTTTGCACTTAAACAAAATTCTCAAGTTTTTTGTTCTAGGAGCTACAGATGCCCGACGCACTATTGCCGGACCCTGTATAAAGCAACATTTGATAATGAATATCATAAAGGCCGACATCCACTGAAAAAGTTCGCATATTTTGTGTTTGTAATATTTCAGAGTCACTTTTGAACTTTTGGCTTCATGTTGTTTACCTCAAATTAATATAAAAATGTCATCATGTCATCAATTTAAGAAGTTTAGGATGAATTGTAATTCTCCATATAAGAATGGGAAAATATTAGATATGCAATATTTTTGATGTAGGTATTTCAAAAATGTGCATTCGTTCTTAAAATATTATGTCTATTTATGCTTATAAACGACTTCTCTCTTTACTAATTACCAAGTTCTCACTCATTAATGAACTGAAATTAATAACTTTTAAGTGAAGATTAAAGTGTTAAATAGTGGATTAATTATAAAGAAAACACATACATCAAAAGTCTGACTCAATCGTGTTTTTGCTGTACTGCAGAAGCAGGAAAATTATAATTTCTTGTTAATAAACTAGTCATAAGCTAACCAAATAAAACTAAAGTCGTGTTAGTTACACTATTTATAACGCAAAAACGTCAAACCGATTTTTATGTTCTCTGATTTGTTGGCAAGCAAGGAATATACAGGAAGAGTTTTAAATAATATCAAATATTTTTTAGAAGTAGTATATTTCGACCCCAAAAACACGTCTATGAGAGAGACAATTGTGCATTTTTTTGATAAAAATTTTGGAAAATGTTTTAATTTTAAGTTAAAAAACATAATATCTCGATAATATGAAAACATATGTAGTAGGTATATTAAATTTACAAGAAAAAACAACAGGAAAGATCCAGTGGTTCTGAAAATTTAAGCAAAAGATCATTTTTTTTTAATTTTCAAAGTAAAATAACTTGGTTATTTTTGACTTATTTAAAAAACGGTAAAGAGAAAATGTTTTTCTTTTATCGAGATCCCGAGCCGATCCCAAGCCAAGTAATAACAAATCTCAACCTAAGGAATCTAACCTAAGATCACAAAATATCTAGCCTACGCTCTTGCATATAATAATTTAGTAGTGGGAACTATCGAATGAATACTATCGAAACATTCGATAGTTGCAATTCATTCGAATAATTCGATAGCTGGTAAGAAAACATTCGTCGAAAACTATTCGAATAAAAATATCGAATAGATGCGTCATCTGCCTTGAAATATATTAATTCGGCAGCAAAAACCATTCATTTATAAAATTCATTCATTTGTAAAATTCATTTATTCGTCAGGATCGATTATAATAAAATATAAACTGGATTTTAGTTGTCGCCCGGCGACGTAGGTTTCTTTCTAGAAACCCGACAGCGATCGGCGGTCGGTGGCAATGGTATGAAAAAGCCGGCATCTTTGATTTTGAGTCAGATAAAGATAAGGACACATTATTTTTTTTTACTATTAAGGTGCTAGTATTTACACAAAAATACATTATGAACGGCGCTGTTGCCGTATATTCGTATTAGTTGGTATTAGCAAAGAATATTATTCTTTGGTATTATAATTAGTTAGGGATAGTATAACTATATATTTTGCATGTTTTTTATTAATATTCTGTTGTTATACTGCAATAATACTTTTTATTTTGGATATAGGACAATGATTTTTAATGTTTTTAAGCAAAACTGGTTTAATAAATAATAATAACAGTAATAATTTGTTATACCTATTAACACCAAAGTTTAAAATCATTTAATATAAACATTTTTTTAAGTAGTAGCAAAATATAAACAACAAATTAGAAGTCAAAATTATTTATATTAGATCCTATTTAAAAGTAATATAGTCTCTAAATTTTTTGGCAACGTTGGTTTATTAAATAATAATAATTACAGAACTAATTCGTTATATTAACAACAAATTTTAAAATCATGAAATATAAACATTTATTAATTTCCTAAGCATGCAGTGTAATAGAAGAAAAATATAAATAAAAAATTAGAAATCAAAATTATATATGTGTATTACTTTTTATTACTTTGTATTAGTATTTAAAAATAATATATGCTTTTACTGGCATTTACTTTAAAAAATAAATGAAATATTTCTCCGCAAAAATCTACATTAAGAGAATTAGCATAAACAAAATACAAATATCGTTAACTTTTTTTTTAAATTGGCACGTGTAAAACTTTAATCAATCAATTAATTTTCTCATCCCAAAATTTGAGTTCGATAACCATTTACTTAACCACATTACCACATTACTTAAATATGATTATTAAGTTCCAACTAATTCATATTATCTAAAATACAAATACATATGTATTTTTAAAATTAATTGTAATTTAAAATTTTCCATTAAAAAAATAGACCATATACCGTATAAAATTAAATAATTGGAAGATCGGAAAATCACACAAATTTTCGGAAACATTTTGACCACCTGCACACGTACACAATCGTCAATTAAAAAAAACACTACTACTTTAGTATTTTAAATATTTTAATAAACGCAAAAATAGCACAGTATTTAAAAGGCAAGTTATAAAAATTTGCAAGAACTAATAATGCACTGACGCAGACAAAAATCAAACGAATACTAAATTTCATTTATCAAAAGCATTCGATAGTCGTGGCTTAACGATAACCATTTAGTCGCACGGCGAGGTTGTCACATATGCTTTAGTATACAAATGAATGAATGATTTTATTCGAATGAAACCATTCGATAGTTGAAATCATTCATTCAGTAAACATTCGATAGTCTAATTCATTCGATAGTTCCCATCGCTATATAATATATTCTGTGCTGTGATCTATAATAATATATGCGCTTATTGAATCAATTTCCGATGCGAAAACCGCATGAAACGATTTTTCCTCAGATTTCTTCAACATTCGTCGAGTTAAGAATTGAATTTTCCTACTTATTTGTAAAAAAATTGTTACCTGGATACGTGCCTCAGGCAATCCAATTTTCTCGGCGAGCCTTTCTCTGGCGAAGACGTCTGGGTAATGTGTGCGTTCAAATTCTGCAAGTATGTAAAGAACGTTTTATTAAAAACATGCTCAAAAATTATTTACATTTTGAAATATTCTTTGCAACATATGAGAATTGCTGTCAGCAAATAATATTTAGGTCACATGTTTTAATTTTATTTGCTTCTAGCTATACAGGGTGGTTTGATTTGTAATTATTTACTTTTTGAAATGTTCTTTGCAACATATGAGAATTGCTGTCGGCAAATAATATTTGGGTCATATGTTTTAATGTTATTTTGCTTCCAGCTATACAGGGTGGTTTGATTTGTAATCGGAAAACTTCGGAAATATATTCTGCGGATAATATGTAAAAAAGTTCGTATAAATATATGTACTGAAATGCTTCGTTTTGGAGATACATGGTGTAGAAGTTTCATTTTTATTTCGTTTTTTTAAACAATTACAGAATTACCGTCCAGATCTCGATGAAAGTTGGTGCACCCGAATTGTAATAACTTTTCGTCTGCATACACTCCTTGTATACATTTCCAACTGTAGTCAAGAGATTGATTGTTGATTAGTCATAGGTTTTCACTACTTGACTTGACTTTCAAGTTACTTGACTTGACTTGACTTGAAATCAAGTCAAATTCAAGTCAAGTAGTTACAATTTCAAGTACTTGAAAAGTCAAGCAATTGCTCACAACTACTTGATTTTTGTCAAGCTACTTGATTACTTCACTTTGTATTAAGCTTCATTTGATATTTTTAATCAACCACAAAATCCTGCAATAATAAACTTTATCAAAAAAACTAAATTTTAATCTTAACAAGAATCGCGGAATAAAACAACAATAAAAAACAAATAAAGTAAGAAACTATTTATTAACGTAAATAGATAATCCAAGATCTAAGTCACATAAGGCTTCTAACAGCATTGTCGCCTAATCGGTTTCGGGTTTTTGTGACAGTAAGGGCGGCTCTAGAAAACTGTCTTTCAAGAGGAGCTGACCAGGCTGGTATGGCTAAAAAATCCCTGGTCATGTTGGCTAAATTTGGAAAAACATTTTCCACTCTAAAATATCCTCAGAACTCTCAGCTCTTGAATCGGATAAGTATTTGTCAATTTCATAACGCCAAGCCATTTCATCCTTCTGAGTGGGAGTGATGGACAATTTAGGTTTTTTAAATAAACTTAGTAAGTCTATATGAAAGTCACTCTCTTAAAGCGGTTTTGAAGCTGAAAGTGATGATGACGGCACTGACAGTGAAACCATATCAAAAGGTAGATTATGATTCATTTACAGCAATTACAAGAAATGTTGAACACATATACCTGGGCATACGAGGCTTTGGGCCTTAAGCTAAACATCGACAAAACTAAAATCATGTGCACTTCCCCGGAAGATCACAACAATGCTATAAAAATCGGAGAAAAACTACTGGAATATGTAGCGGAACTCAATTATCTCGGCAGTTTGATTTCGGAAAAGGCCAATATCGACTCTGAAATTCAGCACAGGATTAGCAGCGCTTCAAGAGCATTCTGGAAATTAAAAGACAGGGTTTTTTACAACCATGACCTGAGCACAAAAACGAAACTTGCAGTGTACCGAGCAATAATAATCCCCACCATGTTATATGGGAGCGAAACCTGGGTGCCGTACCGCCGACACATGAACGCATTAAACAAGTTGCAACAGAGACACCTTAGACAACTCTTAAGAATCAAATGGTTCCATCACGTCTCAAACGTATCAGTTCTTGAAAAAGCTAACTGCGAGAGTATTGAAGTCATGGTTACAAAATCCCGACTAAGATGGGCTGGTCACGTATGCAGAATGCAAGGAAACCGCATACCAAAATCACTGCTTTACGGTGAGCTTGTAGACGGTAAGAGGAGGCCAGGTGGACAACTCAAAAGGTACAAGGACATTTTCCACGAAAACTTAAAGGGGATTAATGTGCAGAATGTGTGGGAAGTAGCAGCTTACAATAGAACTCAATGGAGAAGAATTGTAAACTCAGTTAACAGCGGCAACAAAAAATAAGAGGCAACAAAGCAATGAGATTTTTGAATGTCCGGAGTGCGGTAGACAAATAACATCACGTATTGGGCTTTTCAGTCACAGAAAAGCTCATGAAAGAAAACGACTTGTGTGACCATCTTCTGATGCGTGTCAAATACTCGTCAGCGAGTAATGGCAGTATGTATGTATGCATGAAAGTCACTCTCTTCAAGCGGTTTTGAAGCTGAAAGTGATGATGACGGCACTGACAGTGAAACCATATCAAAAGGTAGATTATGATTCGGTCAGGTGCTTTATCTACATATAGTTAGGCCATACGATAGGGATTTTCGACACAGTTCACACTTGTAACTTCTACGCCGTTAAAGAGCCAAAATTTCGATTCAAAGAGACATTTTTGGATAAAAAATGGAGAAAATGTATACCTACTTTTTTCTCAGTAATGTAATACATGTACGAAGACAAAGTTATTACTCTTCAAAATAGTTTAAAAAAAAACACATGTAGGTAGCACCCCTTACGAGTAGGAGGCATACTAATATCGAAATTGAATTACACATGTAAAAAATTTCCCACACACAAATTTTCATCCAAATATCGGCTATTAGTTCAGAAATTATTTGGAAAATAAATAAATGAAAATGAAACTTCCGCACCCTGTATATCCAAACCGAAGCATTTTAAGATATAAATAAGAAATTTTTTACTTTTTATTATTTGCAGAATATATTGCCGAAGTTTTCCGATTACAATTCAGACCACCCTGTATATCAAATTTACCAGAATCTAGCTGTTTGTAAAAATATTTTTTTTAAACGAATACTATAATGAAAATATAGTAGGTGTTAGTATGCGATATATAGGTGTGTTGTTAATCTATTGAATTGTCAAGAAAATGACACTGTTTCTGAGAATATGAACGATATGTTTTACCTTTTTCTAGGCTATCGATTTGTTCATTTGTAAAAGAAGTTCGATTTCTTTGGAGTTTTCTTTTAAGTCTTAATCTAAGTTGAGAATCTTCATCACCTGATGAGTTGTGTTCTGAGTTTCCGTCCGAATTATTTTCGTGCATTGCCTCAGCTGAAACAAAAGAAACCTTACTGTTAGTACTTTATAAAATCTATAAGTAAAATGTGATCACAAAGTTTAATATATGGAGTGTAGAGATGAGGAGAAATAATCTCTTATGGGACTTTATTTGAAAAAGTCGTCAAAAAAGTGGAAAGAATAAGGGTTCACCAAATAACCACAATGGCGCTAATGACGCATAAATCTAAAAAATGAAAAGTAACCATAGATAAGAGAATAAAAGTAATATAACCCAAAAAAGCTTTGTTTTATTTTTTATAATGTAAAACCTTTGAATAAGAAGACTAAGGATGGAGCATAATGCTATCCATGTATTCATGCATGGTGGGCGGAAAAAGCACTCTAGGGTGGGGATCCTTGACAGTTCTGTTTGACGATTCATTTGACACATTTGAATTTGATTTGAAACTTTGTGGATTTGTCAGTTTTTACAGAGCTTATTTTATGTTATTTATTATTTATTCTACGACTGATAGTTGTATAAAGGTAATAAATCTAGATGGAAATTGTGTCAGAACTTAAATTAACAGTGACACTATCGCGATTTATCGAAAAAGACTCTAAAATAGTTGGTTGTGTAGCGTGCGGTAGATCTCGGCAAAAATTGAGTGAAATAATGGAACAACTATTCGCTAGTAAGTGACTATATAATATACATACGTGTAGTAAACCGATCATTTATGAAATTCACTTAAATTAACTAAATTATATATTATAGTCTACCCCACGTCTACCCTACATCATAGTTTTATATTTTTTAAATAAAATTAGAACGACACTGATAAACCGGAATTTAAGTCGGCCATATTTGAGGTCCATCGCGGTGTACCTAAGATTTTTGATATGCTCCTTCCTTAGACTTCTTATTCAAAGTGTAAAACAATTATTATTAGAAGCCCAGTCTATTGCTGCTGAATAAAAATCGATAATGTATTTCATGTGATATGAAAATAAAATTTGTATTTTTCTGAAACCCGCGCCTTCACGTCAAATGTTTATCTCTTTTGAATCATTGCCTGTTCTAAAATATTTGGCGCATATTTTAAATTTTAGGTTTTTGGCTACAGAAGCGCCAACTTACAACTTAACAAGTATAGCTAGAGACGTGAGAAATATAAAATAACACGCGACCGGTGCTATCCCCAAGTCTCTTCCTATATTTGTACTGTAAGTCTTTCCTTTTTTATGACCATTTTTTAATGCACGAAGATATTTCTCCTTACCTCTCCACTCCATAGTATTATATATATGTATATTAATACTCAAACCTGTTTCCATGTTGTCGACAGAGAAACAATTCTTATAGAACTTTTTGTTAGAATGTAACCAATAGATATGGATCTAGGAAAATTGCCAGAAAACAATTGACCGAAAAAGAATAATATTCAGAGTGTACGTATCAAAATATTATTTTTGTGATTAGAATGCTTTAAAATATCATTAACAGTACAAATTTCTGCGGTAATTTAGTGCCAACTAAAAAAATGGATATTGGTTCATTCAAATTTCATTTGCATGGCTGCACATGGAATGTTATACGGTTATAGACATAATAAAAAAAAAAGAAAAATAGCAACAGAGAAAAAAACTGGATCGGCACAAAACTGAGCAGATAAAGCATACGTAAAGGGAGATAAAATAATTTGGTTTATAGGGGGACCGTTGTTTCAAAATGAACATAACTTCCACAAGAATGAACTTGCGCTGTCCAATTTAAACTAGTAATTGTGTTAGCGGTAAATTTCATCGAAACAGTCGCCACGTCACAATTCAATGGGGGGACAACGAAGATTCCATTAACGCACTGAACAATAAAACAATATCATTTGCTTGTCATGATTTTCGAATTATTTACAAAAATCCAAGACATCTAAAAATCTTAAAGGAGACAAAACTATTCAGATTTTATCCCGATCAAACATCGTTTTCAACAAAAAGCGCTGTTGACAAATTTCTGCGGATTGTGTTAGATCTCCGGCTTGTGTTTGAAAACGAAGTAGGTATGTTATTATTGTCACTAATGGTTTTTTGGGTACACTGATAAAAAAGATAGACTTGAACTAAAGTCGTCATCGTTCTTGAAAAAAAAATAGTGGCAAGAGAATTTATTTTAGCGTAAAAGAAAATATTTTGCCTGAAGAAAAACTCTCTTAACTCAAGAAAACTTGTTCTCTTGAAAAATTCGCAAATTTCTCTTGAGTCTATTTTCATTCAACAAGTGCAAGTTACTTTGCTTTAAGATAATAACAAAAATACGCTAGGAAGTACTTTATTCAAGAAACATGGCCATTTTTCCAATAGCTAAATACTCTTTTGATCAAAAATAATAACGACACGCAAAGACGATGACGAAGGACGGTATATACAATCAGACGGCAGTCCGATCAGTCTCACGTCGCATTTCATATGTCGCACATCATAGTACGCACGGGTTTTGTTGCTTGGAATTTTCCACTTGGAATTTTGCGTAATTTGCTTTTTAAACGCATATCGTATAACAAATTAGTGATCGTTATTAACATGCATTTGTCATTTTTTATGGACAAATTTTAGGATATATGGATTCTTTAAAGGAGTTTCTGAAAAAATGGAAATTAGATTTATTTGCTATATTATTTGAAGGTAAGAAACAATTACCTAATGCACCTGTATAGATAATGCATGCGTGACTATAGATAGAATAAGAATATAGGTATCGATTTTTTTATGCTAATAATTACAAAAATTTTAGAATTTCAAGTCGTATTAAAAAAATCAAAATGTGACCAAAGCTTATAATTTTAATAATTTGTTTGCTTTACTTTGATTAATCGTGATGTAACATTTTTTTGTAATTTGTAGAGTGATGAACCACCCCAAAAAATACCAAGGAGTGAAGAAGCAGAAATATCTACCTACTATCGCGGAAAATAATATCACTTTACTTACTACAGACTAGGAAAACCTAAATTTATCAGAAAATAATATACCTCGTAATATGCCTGTATATACGATGTATAGACTTCTCTTGGATCAAAATAAATTTTAGTTGAGTCAATGGTATTCGCTATTGGTTTAAGAAAAGTGTCTCTTTAATCAAGAAATGTCCCTTTTCAATCAAGAATTTTTGCATGAATTAAAGAGACTATTGTTCTTGTAGCAAGAACTTCTTTGCATATTAATTTTGTGTCAAGAGTGAAATACTTTAAACAGATAGATTCTTCTATTCTCTAAAGTATTTTTTTAAAGCTTATGAAAATATAGTTAATGCTTTGGGCAAAGAAACGTCGTTCTTGGCCCTATTGAAGAGCACCAATCTTTTGGGTCAAAGTCATATTCATTTCAACTGAGAGATCCTTTTCTTCAGTGTACCTACAGAAACGGCGTACTAAATATGTTTTTTAGTTAAAATACATAGATTATACCTTTCAAATTATTTTTAGTTTTCTAATTAAATTAAATTAAAATTTATCAGTAACTGTGACAACGCTGCTTCAGGAAGACTGTTTGCGACGATGTTTTTACTATTAATAGTAAAAATGACGCCAACTTAATGACCAAAGAATACAAGGACTATTAACACCCGAGACCAAATTGTTACCATATACCTCCAAACAGTACCGTGGGACATATTTTTCTTAACTTAGCTTATGGAGTGTAGAGATGAGGGGAAATATCTCTTATGGGACTTTATTTGAAAAAGTGGTTACAATAATAAGGGTTCACCAAATGATTACAGTGGCCCTAATAAAGCATAACTCTAAAAAATGAAAAGTAACCATAGATAAGAGAAGAAAACTAACATAACCAAACATTACCTCAAAAAACTGCGTTTTTATTTTTTAAATATAAAACAATTATTTTTTTATATCAGAGGCCCAGTCTATTGCTGCTGAATAATAATCGATAATTTATTTTATGAGGCATGAAAATAAAATTATTTTTTTTATCCGCGCCTTCACGTCAAACATTTATCTCTTTTGAATCATTTCCTGCTCTAAAAATTTTCTTCTTCTTCCTACTCTATCATAGGCAGATTGCCTGTTCATTCTTCACATCATGCCTACAGTTTCAATCGATGGTAAGATTATCACACCATCTTTTTCTTGGCCTTCCCGTACTTCTTCTTCCCAGTGGTGATTTGTCTCGAGCTGACCTTACTATTCTTCCCTCGTCCATTCGGCTTATATGTTCATTCCATTCACGTCTTCTGCTCAATACCCATTCACTAATGCTATCCACCTTGCATGTTTGCCTTATGTTGTCGCTTCGTTCTGTATCTAATATCGTTTTATCTGTGATTTTGCGGAGGATTTTCATCTCGCTTATTTCCAAGAATCTTTTTGTTTTTGCTGTATCCGGTCTGGTTTCTGCTGTGTAGGTTATTATGGGTTTGACAACAGCCTTGTATATTCTTGACTTGACCTCGACACCTATGTATTGAATTTTCCATATGGCGTCGTTCAGATATCCAGCTACTCCCATTGCTTTTGTTATTTGTTGTCTTACCTCTGTTTCGATATCGCCATAACCGGATAACTCTATACCGAGATATTTAAATTTCATTAATGGCTGTATCGTTGTGTTATCCACGACAATCTTGCATATCATAGGTATTTTTAATGTTGTCAGGCTCTTTGTTTTGGATGCAGATATTATCATGTTATAAGATTTTGCTACTAGATTGAAGCGATATAATAATCTTTGGAGGTCGTCCTCATTTTCAGCGAATAGCACAGCGTCCTCGGCATATAAAGGGAAATTAAAACAACTTTGGTTGCACGTCATCAATGACACCATGCGTCGTCTTTTGGAGTTTACTGGTGGTCGTATTATGATGTAAAACCAAAGTTATTTTAATTTCCCTATATAAAAATTTTCGGCGCATATTTTAAATGTCAGGTTTTTGCTATAGCAGCGCCATCTTAAGCCTTTCCTTTTTTATGACCATTTTTAATGCATGAAGATATTTCTCCTTACCTCTACACTCCATAACTTAGCTGCTTGAAGAG